AACATGGCTGCATTTACACTGGTCTTGCCTACATAATTGGGCTGCATTTACACTGGTCTTGCCTACATAAATTGGTTAACTATCATAATTACATCTTGATTTAGCCTTTAAAAAAGCTATTCTGAGGGATTTCCTGGCTTTATATGAACTTGTCAAGAAGTAGTAGCCTTCTAAAGATGTCCCTGCTTTTTGATGTCCGTCTGTTAAGCCCAAAGCAGATCTTCTCTTAACATTTTTCTCAAACTGAGAACATTCTTGAGGCTCACACTCAGCTTCCATACTTTCTGTTTTTGGGAAAGGCATAATTTTTGTTTTTCTTTAGAGAGCCCTTTTCAGTTTGTGCTACTTTAAATTGCTGTATTATCAGGGGTTGCCAACTTTCTTCTATGTATGGTCCAGAGTCCATGATATCACTAGTATAATTTCCAAATGAATTGTTGTTCTGGCCATACCAAAGTATCTGGTAAAGCTGACACCAAGATGGTCATCCAATGAGGTGCTAAGTACTCTCTCTCTCTCTCTCTCTCTCTCTCTCTCTCGCTCTCTCTCTCGTAGGCTGGGTAAATATATTTATTTCGATGACCACAGGCAAGATTATTTTAAGGCGCAGGCCTATAGGAGATAGGTGGCTAATCCCTGCTCTATATAGTAGTTTAAGGAGGCATTGTGGTGCAGTGGTTAGAATGCAGTATTGCAGGCTGACTGCTCAGTGCCAAGAGTTCAATCCTGACTGACTCCATCCATCCTTCCGAGGTCAGTAAAATGAGGACCCAGATTGTTGGCGGCAATATGCTGACTCTATAAACCGCTTACTAAGTGCTGTGCATTATGGAGCAGTATATCAGTCTAAGTGCTAGTGCTATTATTCCATTTTTATTATATTATATTAATATTTTATTGCTGTAAGTAGCTCCTTGAGTGATCTAACAACCACAACAAATATACAAATATAATAGAATAATTATACTATGGTATAGTTCATTTGCTCATTGTTTCTCCCTTTCTCTCTCTCTCTCTTTCAACTTTCCATCTCAAAATGGAAAGTACATAAACCTTTGAACGTAAATTAAATGACACAAATATTGAAATCAGTCTAAGGGAAACGAAAAGGCCTATTTTCCATGGTGAGTCTTAAGTCCATCTCCAAAAGACAGAGACTGGGAATCAAACACCAGTTCCTAGAGATTGAACTGCACAGTTAGAGAGCCTTCTCACAAATGCCCAATCAATGGGATTCTGAATGCAAAGGCATTTTTAAAGGGACCTTGCCTGCAGGTCCCGAACAAGTTTATAATCAGAGAATTATGCCTTAAGCTATTTCACACTTAAATCAGCACGTTAAATTGTGTCTGCAAAACAACTGAAAACTTATGCAGATTGCCCGATTCGGGCATAACATTACCCTAGTATTTTCACCACTTTATTTTGTTGCTGAATTTTTCACCAATTGAAATGGCTAGATATGTTTCAAGGATGCTCAAAGTAGAACAAGTTGTAATATTTTTATCCACGGCTCATTGAATATGCTAGAAGCTCCATGGATAAACAAAATTATGATGGCTTGTTTAGCCAATGATAAGTTCAGTCTTAACTGGTTTTACCTTGCGTTTCTGTGCATTGATTGGAAACCTGAATGGGGACAGAATCACATCAAGATTAAGCTAAGACATCGCACACCAACTAGCCACCCTTATTTTGACATCTTCCAAAGAAAGTAGCAGTTAGTAAGAAAATAACAAACCCTAGTTTCAAACTGTGGCTTACAGTCGTACCCTCCACTCCCTTCATATATCACATTAACTCAAGATCATGTTACTTATTGGCTCACTGTAGTATGTGAATTTAGTAATATGTACTCAATTGCCTCTTCCATATTCACAGAGGGGATTGCATAAAGTGGGTTTTATATTCTCCTCATCTCTAATAGCCTGTTATGTTTAACTTTCCTGAAGAGTAATACTTCTACTGACAAGGAGAAAAATTAGTTTTCATAAAATAAAATTACATTATCTTCAGGAAAAAAAGTTTTTTTAAATACACACAGTCTTCTTGAAATGCAGACAATTGCCTGCTTTCCAAGGGTTTACAGCTAAATGAACTATTGTTGTATAATTAGAGGGTTGAATTAGGACAGGAAAGATCCAAATTCTAAATCCCAGATCATTGGCTGACTTTGAGTCAGATATAATCTCAAAAGAGTTGTTGCAAGAATAAAAACCAAATGGAGATAACTCTGCATATAACTTTAAGTAAATAAAGAAAAGGTGATATAACAAATAAAATATACAGCTAGAAACATTTGAAAGACCCTTTCAAATGGAAACAAGACATCAAATTAGAAAAATTACTGCTGCATCCAACGTGAGATTAAAGTATTTGTCTTAACAAATGTCTCTATGATCTATTGTAGATTCAAATGTAGAAATGTCTACACCCTTGTTAAGTTTCCCAGTTCTCCCATCTCCCACAAATTCAGTGCAACTGTTTGTGAGAATAAAAGATGAAGTTTCATTAGAAGTCTTTCAATCTAGTTTTCTCTAGATAAAAAGTAACAAAAAGTGTTGCCATTGGTGCAAAAGTAATTTAAAATTAGTAGCAGCCATATAATAATTTTGAAGGATAAAGTGCAAAAGAAAAAGGGTATTATGAATTTATTGGTTAGTTTGTAAGGAACCTTATTTGCCTTATTTTCACAAGCAAATACTTTAAGTACTAGATGACTTTAATGCAACTATGTAAATAAAAATTAAAACAATAACACTTTTAAAACTTTGTATAAAATCTCACATGAAATAAATGAGAATGCCTTACCAATCACATATGTCTTGCAGAGTAATCCTCCTAAGCCCACTGATTGGGACACAAGTCCAACAAATTCAGGATATCATGTAAAATGTTCATAGGAATGTAGCCTGAACGTTACACAAATTAATTTCGGCATTAAAGCAAAATCTGGTTGACTACTTTAGCCACAGAAATACAATGCATTAAAAAAGAAAAAGAAAAGAAAAACAATTTTTTCACTTCTACTCAAATGATTAGAACAGCCTATGCTTTTCAAGACATTTTGACTAACCCAGGCATATACGTAACATCTGAGATACTGATCAAAATCTGTTTTTTAAACAATTGTCCTTCACGCCAGACTTTAATGGGCACACCTACGTTCTTTAATAATAAATAATGTGCTACATGGAACAAAACCACTTTCCAAAAGTTCCAGGAGATCATGTAAAAGATTAAACCTTTTCATCTTGCTTTATCAAATCAAAACCATCATTGTCCTTTGCACACAATCTTGAATCAACTGAGAGTTATTATGCATTAAAAAAAGTTCCAAAACACTCAATGGAATGGCCACCTTATTTTGAATGATCTAGCCCTCGTGTATTGACCATGAACAGGTAAATTTCTTCCCAAAGGACCAAAAGTGTGTGTGTGGGGGAAGACCAATACATCACTGCTATATTAGTCATTGTCTAATTATGGAACTTTATGTATTCCACTCTCAACTTTCAAGAGAGTCAGTCCTTTTCACCAACCAGCTTTCTCACATTAAGAATTTGTCAAGTCCTTTTTCCTGCTAAACTGAATCCTATCGATTTCTGCTTCCCTCCCTTTTTTTTTTTTTTTTTGTCTTTCCCTTTTCCACACCTGTAGGTCAATAAATAGCCCAGGACAGAAATTCCACAACAGGAGTTTTGTCCCAGTGCTAGAGATGATCTTTTTGTGCATGGTAACAATGTGTTGCACAGGCTCAGAAGGAAGTTCAAGATATTATTCCTGATCTTCAGACCCAACCCACTGCAAGATTCTGGCCTTCTTCCTTTAGCATTGGAAGGATCTGCAGCTACCAGGAAGCCCAGAAGGAGCCAGTAACAACTGCCATAAGGAAGACACAGTATCATAGGGAGGCGCTGGGAGTGGGAGATGAAGTCTGCACAAGATTGTCTAACTTCCACCTTGCACACATTTGAAAATGGGGAAAGGAATACAAGGGAGGCCACTATAGAATAGAGTGTTATGTCTGCACACACAACAGTCCCAGAATCATAATGTCCTTTAGCGTTGGCACGTTAGAATTTCAAACAAAAATGCTAATATTATTGGGTTTATTATGAACAGTAGGCTTTATTGCTTATTTCAAGATATCTCAATGTACAACCTACAGTTTTTCCAAGAATTTTGAGATTTTTCATAAAGTGCATTTTGATTTTAAATTGAAGGATTTAAAGGTTTAAGGAAGTGAAATTCATAAATTTTTATCATGGAGTGGAATATTTTATGCCACATGTACATACAACGTAGTGGAAAAATGAAACAATATTTTTACTTACAATCACTTCCTCTTACTGAAGGGGGGAGGAATCCCCATATTCCTGCCCCCTCTATGCTCCCTTTTATAATAGGCTTATTTTCTGATTTCTAGAATCAGGGTGTTTTTAATCCGTCCCCCTACCCCTGCCCCCCTTCTCGCCATCTTAAAAAACACCCCCGCCATTTGAAATAAAGAATTTCTGAGATCCATCTTTTACATCTTTCTGTCCCAAAATACACATGCCAAGAAAACGGGAAGAAGATGGCCGTTTCTGATCCAATATAAAAGCTCTTTTGTTGCATTCACATACAAAAGCCAAGAATCGCGTTTCATATCTAGGCCCTGAAGGACACGAAGGCATTGGTCCTTCAATTCTATAGCGCAGAAGTAAAGCTCTCCCCAAACTTTGGGAAAGTTACACAAAAGAATCCAAAGCCATTTTTTTTAAAAGGGAGAGAGTGAAAAAGAGATTGGGGAAGTTAGTGGAATTCAATAGCTCTCCTGTGGGTTCTATTTAACCCCTGTATTCCTTGTATAAAGGAGGAAATGTAACGCAGTGCGTCCGCCACCGAGATCGTGTTTTGTTTTGTTTTGTTTTTTTTCTTTAAGGGAAAGAAAACACAACCAACCAGTTGATCCGTCCAGGAGCAGCAAAAGTAGCAAGCTGGCTGTGATCACTTACTTGTCCGTCTCTTGTGACATGTTTGATCCAATGAACTCTCTCCCCTTTTCCAGATGCCTCAGTCTCTCTGGTGAAACTGGACTTTCAAGTCTGTGCAGGTAAAGGTGTGTGTGTGTATGTGTGTGTGTGTGTGCGCTCGCGTGTGAGAGCAAGCGAGCTCCCGGGACGGCAGAACCAGAGCTACTGGTAATTCTGCTTTTCTTTGCCCCCTCTACTTCTCCCTCAGCCAGCCGCAGAGGTAGGAGTGGGACAGGTAAGGCCCCCTTCTCCCCGCCCCTCGCATGTGGGAAGAAGACTGGCTGGCCTTTTTTTTTTCCTTTTGCCCCCCCCCCCCCCCCCCCCTCCCGCGGTTTAGGGCACCGAGCAGCCAAGCAACAAAAGCTGAAGGCGCCTACAGGTAACTTTCCCAAGAGAAGCTGGATTCTTTCACTCAAGGATAGCAGGCAAAGAGGGACGAGCCGCGAGCTGATTGGGTGGAGCGGGCCTTCAGGTGAGCAGCCATTGGAAGAGGCGCGCTCAGGTAAGGCCCTGTGGCTTAGAACTCGGCGCGATCGCACCTCTGGGAAAGCAGAGCCGGAGTGGTTGAAGCAGCGTGGGGTGAAGGGCGGGGAATTGGGGGCAGGCAAGAGAAGCTGAATGGGGACACTGGGGTAGCAGGGCAGGTGAAGCCCGGCCGGCAAAGGAAGCAGAGGAACTCCCTGGCCGAGGGCGCCTGTGGAGATTGCCGCTGTTCTCGCAAATGGGGGGGGGGGGTGTTTTCAGGAAGAGAAGGGAGACAGAAGAAGGGAGCCGCAGGGTTGCCTGGACTTGAGCTGGGAAAGGACTGGCGGGGAACAACCCTGGCAAACTCGCCTTTGGCTTTGCAGCTGCTTTTCCGAGTCCCGAACTCACCGCGCCGCCCGCCTCAAAACCTCGCGCGCAAAAGTCAGTCTGGAGTCCCGAGGGAGAGCGCCAGGCACTTGCCCGCCCTCTGTGTGGACCTCGACAAGAGGTTGGGGGACAGAAACGTCCACCTTAAGCCGCCTTCCCCCCCCCCACCCCAATACGTGTTTTTTTTAAAATTCTGTTACATAATTTCTTGTGTTTCGAAGTGCCGTGGGTTTTAAACTGCCGCGTCAGGATTTGCAGGCCTGCCTAGGACTTAAGTTATGGAGATTTGTTCATTGCAAACTTCAGTTTGTTCGGATTTGCTTAGGTTTTTTTTAGCTAGACATGGAGACTAGATAGAGAAAAAGAGGTCAGTCGCATCCCACCTCTACCCCCTTTGCTTCAACTGAAAACTTTCAAACTACTTCCTTGGGTAAGAAGAATAAATATGAACTGTGTGTTTTCTCACCCCCCCCCTGGCTGTAATGTTTGCAGTATTTCTAGCCTTTTGCTAGAAATATACTGCCTGACCTCATTTCTGCAAGGTGTGTGATAAATTAGAATCAATACACCACTATTTTGCTTTTTAAAAAAACAGTGTTCAAGAAGTGCTTAGGAGCTTTTTAAAAAGTAAGTTCAGGAGTGGAAATGAAGAATAATAAACAATATCCAGTCCCTAATCCCTGGATGAATCCTTCATGTTTAGTCCTTTGCATTTGCTTTATCCTCTGGTATTTCCACAGAGAACAATCTGTTGTTTGTAAGTATATCTGGGCCTACCAGTGAAATGCAAGATTTCCCCCATTTTCCAGGAAAGACTTATCTAGTGTTTGCTACAGGCCCTGTCAATCAATGACGTGGAAATAAGCAATTCAGTCTGCTATTTTATCTATGCTTATTTGGAAGTCAATCCCTCTTAACACTCTGGAAGTGATATCCATGTAAGGAACTTTCCCACTCAGCTGTGGAGAGGAAGAAGACTGAACAGATAAAGATTTTAGGAGAATGATCTATTTTGATGTAACAGAAATGACTATCTGATAGTTACCATTCAAGAGACTAGTAAATATCTCTTGTGGTCCTATTAGCTTTTATGGGGGTAGTAAGAAAGTAACAATGAAATTTACAGCTGCACAATGGGATGATAATCACTAGTTTCATGGCTTTCCAAAAAAATTAGCGGGAAAAGATGACTTTTTGAGGAAAAATCTGCCAACAACTATTGCAAAGACAAGTATGTAAGATACTTGGACCAAAAATAGGGAATGGGAGCCTTTTGGATGTTTTCAATGGGCAATGTAATCTTAAATTTAGATGGCTTTTGTATATCAAATTAAAACTTAACTTACAGAACTTTTTTGCAATCAGGTTCTGCTGCTTTCATTTTTTTCCAAATAGCATAAGTTCAAAATAATAGTCCTGAATTGGGGATTAATACCCTAATTCTAAAACACTATGGAAATACAAGGTGCATATTAGCTTAAAAACTCTGAATCTTGGATCATATTGTACACCAAAAAAGTTATGCCCAATGTAATATTTATTATTGAACCTGCCCATTGTGAATTAAAACAAACAGACTGAATATTCAGAGAAATCAAGTTCCAACCCTTTGCCCAAAAAACAGAATAAAAGAATGTGATGCTTGAATGTGTAATCCTAATTACAATTTGAATGGAATAAACAGGAAAAATACGAGTGGGAGTTGCTAAAGAGCTGGTCGCGTGCTTTATTACATTTGATACTCAATGTTTCTATACTTTCACTTTGGCTGCTTCTTTTCTCAAACAGCTATAATTCTACTGTGGGGGGAAAAACAAGGTAAAAGGCAACTGTTTCTATATCAATTTACTATGGGTGTGTAATTTTTCCATTTAATAATAGTATTGTTTGGGTTTGCTGTTTAGGGTCAGAAAAACAAGTATTCAGACAACATTTGATGAAGGCTACAATATATAATTAAAAGTACATAAAATTATGTGTTCTAGAAACACGTAAAACAAATTTATGAGATGAAGATGCGTATGGGTTGTATTTGTATCAAAACAATGCTACTAATAAGTACAATAGAAAGAAAACAGATGTCTGAATAGCTGCAATTCTTTTAACACAGAGGTGGCTTACATATGTTTGTGCTTTTCTATTGGTAAGTCATTGAAAGCTCCTGCACCAGATTCCAATAAAGTGCACCATGCGGAAAGCCAGCTACTAATTTTGCAACAAGTAGCACTTATACTTAATCCTTTATGTATCTTAAAACTTAGCAATCATCTTGTTATATAATTTGTTTTGAAGAGGGTTGTGACTTAGGTCGAGGAAGGTTTATTTATTTTTTCAGTTAGCAAAAGATAGAAGCTTGATTGTAATGGGTTAAGTTTCCTTTCTTCATTCTTTTTCTGTATAGACTACCATGATTTAGAATGAGTGGCTAAAGCAACATTTGACTTAGTGCATCAGGAATTTCAATCCAAAATGTTTGGAGAATACCAAAATAATCTCTTGATAGGACAGCAGAACTCCTTTCTCTCCGTCTTTATGATTTATCACATCACCTTAGAGAGTTACTTTATGTATTACTGACTTTCTGCCCCAGTCTAACAATATTTATGCAGAACTGAGTTCATGAAGGAAATTATCTGGGATAATGTTACTCAGTTGTTTCTTGTTACCTCCATATGGTCAACCAAATACAGTTAATATTATGGAAGTGATTTATTATAGTTCCCAATTCATTACAATTCTTCATTCAGTAAAAAAAAAACACTTAATTACCATCATGACTGGTTTTTCGTCATGATATTATATTAGGAATGGTTTCATGGTTTCCAAATCCTTGAAATTAAATGTTATATCAGCCTTCTCTAGTTCTCTCCAGATGAGCTGCATTATCAGAGTTTGATGAAAGTAGGAATGGAGTTCTGATCAACCATTTAAAGTATGCCTCATGAATGTTCTTTCATATCCTCTGGCACACAGTCTTACCTGTTCAAACATGAGTTATCCTGGATTACTTCTCAAAGCAAGAGCAGTTAACACTGCAGTGTGTTAGCTTTTAAACAATGCTATTGTGGTAAATTGTTAACTTTGCCTATTGTAGGCAACTGTTGACAGAAACTGGAGACCAAAAAATATCGGTCATTGATATGGTCAGTTATTAGCACTGTGCTTCCCAAAGGCAATACTACTTAATTTGACACATAGAGGCTGTCTGGAATTAGACTTAATTATCTTCTCAATACCATAATTATCTGTGCAGATAGTTCAGAATTCCTTAAGTGCAGATTATTGGTCAAGAAAATAGTTAAAATATTTAAGTGAGTACAGATTATTCCATTCTAATATAGCCATAGTTTTAACAAACTTAATTGAACCAAACTAGTTACACTTTGTTCATATTCTTGAGGCTCATTGCAGCAGTTAACACTTTAAAAAAAATCTTCAAAGCTCTTGTGAATCCTTGTGCTTTCAATTATGAGAATAGTACCCGGTCGTTGTTTATTACAGCCATAAGATCAGGTGCAGTACAAAAATAGTATTTTTTTTCCATGAATAAAACACCACACAAAAACACCTTCTCTTCAGTTTCGTTGTACTTGTACAATGACAATAAAGTTGTTCTTCTTCTTGATGTAATAAAAATGTTGCTCTTTTCTGTAAAGAGAATAGATTGATGGATGAGGTATGCTAGTAAAAATATAGGCTAATAGTCTACCTCTCTTTGCTCACTAATAAATATTTCATTGAATTTGAATTTATATATATGATTGCTTTATATTTCTGAAATTTTAAGTTATATAATAAATTTTGGTGATGAATCTTCTGTTGAAATTAGCAAAAAAAAGTTAGTTGTAATTTGGTCGGCCAATTAATGTTACAAAAATAATAAAAAACAATTGCAATATAAACAAATGAGAGAGCAATATATGATCTGCAAACATTTTCAGATACAAGCACCTTCATCAGTGATATATTTTCTGATTATCTGAAGGGGGGTTGGGGGCATGCACTTCTGTCTTTTTTTCAAGCAACCCAGGTTTTATTGTAGATTAGACATAATCACTTGCCTAAAGCTACTGAGTAAATCTTTATGGCTCACTGAGTGTTTAAGATCATGTTTCTCTTCCAAAGTGAATGCTTCAGTTGCTATAAAACGTATCTTACCATATAAGTCTGTTAGAAAAGGATATCATAGTAGTATTAGAAATAGCTAGAAGTACAGGAAATATCTGCAGAAAAAGTAAATAACACTGTCAAAGACAGTATAGATGTGGTGCTTGCTGATCTTCTCCAGTTTTAGAGATTTAGCCTGTATATAGAATATGGAATCAGCATGAAAAAATAAAAAAAAATGTTGAGTATGAGTGAACATTAAATACTCCAGCCTCTTGCTTTCCAGAATTAATCTTTCTAAAGTGATTAATGTAAGAATAAAAGTGAAGAAGAAACTATGCATGCTCTATAACAAAGACAGAACATAAGGATAATAAATTAGTATTGTGCCTCTAAATTAAGAGCTCACTTACCCTCTCAGTGCTGGTATTAGCTTTGTACGCTGAGAGTTGTCATCACATAGATTGTTACTTATGTAGAGTATTTTTGTTTATACCAGCTCTATTACTAATCAATTTTGCTGGATGATCTGAATTTCTGTTATCATATGAGATGAAAAGGGTCATATCTGTATGCATTTTCTGTAAGCTGTATAATTCTTTAAATCTCTACCACACCCTCCTTCTCTAGGTATTTTCAGCTGCTATCATTCTATCATATCCTCTGATGTCTGAGCTGTAAGCTGTACTTTTTTGACTCTACTACGTACGTTTTTTTAGATAGAGTAACCGGAACTGAATAATAGCTGAATATAGTTGGCTCAAATATAGCTAAAAAGATATACTGACTTTTCAAAGTAAGTTAGGAGATTTTGCTCTAATTAGCTTATATAATAATAATCATGTTGAATATTCAAATTACCGGTACTTTGTGTGTCATATCTTGGCTACTGAGAAGGACTTGTTTATTTGCATGGGGGCCATAATCAGCACAGACTTATCAGAATGCTACTTGGCACCATTTCTAATCCCCTCTCCTGTATGACATTCTTTATTTTCCCTGATTAACATTATTTTTTTCCTGAGCAAATACCATGTTTCTAAACAAAGTTTTAGGCTGCAGTTGCTTATTATTTCATTTTCTGAGAAAGCTAATGGGATACAAAACATTTCTGGGAATAAAACAACGGAGGCCAGAACTTAGATCTGCAGCCTGCTCCTTTTTAAAGTTTATTTTTTTAATGTGAAAAAGGTTGGAGTAGATGCCACTGAGAATGGCATCTAAAAATATACCCGCACCATAGGCTGCCTCATTGAGCATCCCAGAATTAGCGAGTCCATTTGTAACAGAGGTAAATGAGCTTTTTAGTTACAGTACTATGTTAAATCTCACAAACAGTTCTTGTATCCTGTAATGCGTCTCATTATAAAGGAACTTACCTATCCCTTGAGACATTGATTCTCAGCAGGTAACAGCACCTGGCTGACCTTGTCTGAGGGACCACAGGTTCCTACTTGGATGGGAGACTAACCAGGGAGTAACAAATTTGTGGGCCAGTCAAGAAACACCTTGAAGTGGACCATGGCAAGCTACTTCCATTGTTTTACAAAGAAAACCATATGACTGTGTCCATGAAGTTACTCTGGAATTAAGCTCAATTTGAAAAAAGACTACTTTTAATGATGTTTTGAGAAAATGTAATTGAGATTATTCTGAATAGTGTTCAGTAATGTGCAGTGCATTTGTGGACTGCATGCTTCAAGTTGCTGCGTGATTTTTTCCCCCTGAGATGACTTTGTAAATAAACAGTGACCGTGTTGAAGAACTTACTTCCTTATTCCTGTTCAGAAAGTAAATAGAATACGCAGTTATTTACACTTGCCACAATTTTCTCTGCACCTTCACTTCTTTCTTTTTTTTTCTTTTAACTACTGGGTTTTCTTACATGGTTCATAAAAAAACACTTGATTTAATAAAGAAATTAAACTAGTTTGATGTGGTTGCAGCTTGCAGTCATTCTAAAGATCCATTTTGTTAGGTTTGTTAAACAATAACTTGCATATTTAAGAGAGATTAATGGGAGCAATATATTTGTCTTACCCAAACTTCATTGGCAGCTAAGTGGGTGAACCATGAAGTTTTTCTGTTCACTCCAGTCATGTAAATATACCCACAAAATTAGTGACCTGCAAAAATTATATTGAGATACTACCATGTTTTCCTGAAAGGAAGTTTTATATTAAGTTTTGTTCCAAAATATGCATTAGGGTTTATTTTCTGGTTAGGTCTTATTTTGGGGGAAATACAGTACCAAATGTGTCCGTCTGACTGACGATCTTAACAGGTTTATTTTGGAGGTAGAACATATATTACAAGCATCCTGAAAAATCAAGCTTGGGCTTATTTTCCAGTTGGGTCTTATTTTCGGGACAAGACAGTAGTTGGCAGCAATGGAGACCAATAAACTCTGTCCCATTTGTAGCAGCCATGCCATTTCTTTGTTGGGTATGGTGAATGGTATTTCTCCTTTGTAGTAGCCACTTTATTTCCATGTTGGGCATAAATGGAAAGATGATATTATCTGTCTCTCTTCCATTAGCCAGTTTCTTCCCCTACCTTCAAATTAGTATCTATTATTCACTGCCAGGGAAGTTTGAATGATGACCATCTTTTTCTGCTGACGATTGAACTACAAAAACTTATTTGTAATGCCCAGGAAAATCATTTGGGGTAGTTCTAAATGTAAATACAATAGGTAGTGGGATTTCTACCTTTGTAGCTTTGAAACTGGAATGGGGTCAGAAATAAGAACATATTCTATGCTCAAAAAATATTCCTAATTCAATCACAAGCACTGGGATTGTGAAGGAAGACAGCTCTGAATGCTGCTTCGGTGACTGGTTGCATTATTTTGTGATGGTACCCTAGTCAGCCACAAGTCCACTGTGTGCCCTTGCAGATTTGTTGCCTTCTTGTCAAATGGAAAATTGATGATGGCTTAATAAGAGTAAAACCAATGGTATGAACTCAAAATACCATCTATCTTGTCACTTAGCTTATATTTCAAAGTAGAAAAACTGCACATTTTAATAGTGGCAGTGAAGCACCTGTTCTTATAGATGTAGTTAAATATTGTATGTCTGCTCTTTTCCCCCTTTTTTTGCAGCATTCAGGGAAAGATCTTATCTTCATTTATTTAATTCCCTCTCATGTTGCTGTGCATGAATGAGTAAAGTTGTAGAGGATGTTGATTTTAATAGTCTGACTATGTCTCTATGATCATAAGAAACCACTGCAAATTTTATGGGTAATATTCACCCACCTTTGCATCTATATTTCTGCAAGCTAGATGACCAAAACAATATGCTTAGTGATGCAGCCAAATTCTTCTAATATGAGGCATGATATACCTCTTTAAAACTTGGCTTTAACATTATTTTGTCTGGCCAGAGAAAGGGTATATTAACAGATGCACATTCAATCCTATGTCTGGAATTAAAGCTTTTAGAAATGACAATTATTTTAGTCTATTATGTAGTAACTTAACCATAGCAAGTGTTGATCACATTATGTCTAGATAGACATCAAGACTATCATCACTGGTTTTGATATTTTCTGTTATTTTTAACCTTTGTGTCTTGGAAGCGAAGGGAAAGTGCATGGATTTCCACCTCATATTTGTTTTTTAAAATAATTTTATTAAAATTTTTAAAAATAAAGATAAAAATCAATGCAAAATAGTATAAGGAAGAAAACAGAAAAAGAAAGAAACCAAAAGAAAGCTAAAAATGCAAGCAACTATAGTACAGTTATAAATTTACCTCCTTCTCTAAAGTTACATCATGATACTCTTCTACGTATAATCTATTCTGCCTAATCATTAAAACCATAAATCATAAGTTCATCTTTTTCTATTTTACACAAAAAGTCCCCAATGGATTTCCAATCAGAATAGATATAGGTATTGTCATTTTTCTGAACAAAGAAGTCAATTTGGCCATCTCACCAAGTTCTATCATTTTCACCAACCATTCTTCCTTTTAGGTATTGCTGAATCTTTCCACCTTATATTCAGAATAAGGAAGATTCTCAGATCCAGTGAAATTCAGTGTGAAAACTGAAGATAGCACTGAAAATGCTTAATTGTAATTTTCTCAGAAATTGCTTTTTGTCTACAGTTTGCAGCAGCCTGATACTGATTCAGTTCAAAAGTCAAAGTACCTCTGGCCCCCTGGTTAATTTTGTTTCAGCCATGTGGAAAGATAAGCTGGTTGGATGGTTTTAAAATGGGAAATGAAGCTTGGTGGGGACAGATGATGTAGATTAGACCACAGAATAGGAATATAGGAACCTTGCTAATCAGGATAAGTTGGCTGCATAATGCTGATTGTGTGCATTCAAATGAACTGTTTGTATTCCTCGATTCTTAGCAAATGTTATCATTAACAGGCAAATGTTGCAGTATTTTCTATTGCACCCTAAGAGCACTCTATGTCTACACATAGATATCTATAGAGGAAGAAGTTTGCATGTTTGTTTCTAGTATAGACTATAGCTGGATCAAGTTCTTCTTGGAATTTCTTTGTATGAACCATCTCACTGTTTACATAACATTAATGCTGGGCACCACCCAATGACGCTGGATTTTTCTTTCTTTATTTTCCTGTTACCCTTTGTGGAAGAATGCACACATTATGAAAGTATTTTCTTCAAAAGAAAATTGATTTAACATCAGGATAAAACTCTAGTACTCTACAAATTATGAAAATCAAAGTAGATTGATTTTACTTCTAAGATGTTTACCTCTAACATCTTTTGAATAAGATGTAGCAGAGTAAGATACTCAGTTAGAAAAAGAAGCTGAGAACCATCCAGTTCTTTTCAAGACTAAATTGATACTTTCTCTCTTGATCCATTTTAGTTGGCTTTGTTTGTATCAATAAAACTTAATCCCAGAAGTCAGCCTGAGAAACGGACTTCTGTACAGTGCAGTTAAGTTTGGCTAGGATTACCCTACCCAAAAATTTTGTTGGATACCCTCCTTTTTATGTCCTCCACGGGTATGTTACAACAGCAATTCCTCAAATTCCCACCAAGCATTTGGAATCCATCTGATAGAGGAAGGGTAATCCAGGCTTCCTTAACTGTTTTTATAGGAAATTACGTTTTATTAACAGTTTAAGATTCTCACATTTTCAACATAGTTGAAAACAAGTATTTCAACTTCTTCCTGTGATTATGATCGTTTTATCTTGTGTCAACAAACTTCCACAGGATTGATTTGAATATATAGCCAAATTGATTGTCCAAATTGATTCATCCACACTGGTCAGAAAACTGAGTAAGAAAATTTATACCGTTCAGTTCTTTTGATGTTGAGTTGCTAATTGGAAAAGTCACCAAATGATATTTTGATTATGTGTGGGAATATTCCTCTCTAGGATTAGTCACTAATTAGGAGCTAACAATTGACTGGACCTCTCCCAGGCTTCAACTAAATAAAGGTTAGCACACCCATGTGATTAAACATTAAATATTGATTAAATATTATAGTTGTTTACAACAATTAAACACATGTGTTTGGCAGCAGAAAATTATTGTGTAAATATTCAAAGTACCCAACACACAAAACAATAAATTAGACATGGTGCTAAAAGCTTACAGCCACTTCACAGTTTTGAAACCATGGGGAGCTCAAAGCAGTAATAGAAATACTTATTGCTGGCACATGGTTTTTTCTTCTCCTGCACACCTAAATGCAGGCATGCACACACACACATATTTTATACTTTAGGAATAAACAGACTCTAAATAGAAAATACAATCCACTAAAATCACTAGCATATATTTGGATGACTTGTCAGTACTAGAGCAGAAGCATGCAAAGTAAATTTGAAGGACCATTTAAAGTACTAATGGTGTTGCTAAAAATAAAAATCTGCAAACTTGTCCCTCCTACTCATTGTCACATTTCACACCTGCATGTGCATAGTGTATCAGGAACATAAGCAAGTTTCAATGCATGAACTTATAAGGGTTGATAAAATTTATCATTGGCATTAGCCACTGAGACCCAGCATAGATGGATAATCTTCACATGTTCCTTTTAAGATGAACCTGGTTCTGGGATTTCATTGACATAATCAGAAATCAAAAGTTTGATAAAAGAAACTCTGTTCCTATAACATTACCTAAACTTTCATACTCTCCGGTAAACTGATATCAAAATAGTCTTACATAAATGTTAGTAATTTAGCTGACTTTGTGATTAGTTGAAGGCTATATAATCTGATTATCTGTACTACCCATAGATTGGTTGGATAAATATAATTCTGGTACACAACTAAAATAAACTTCTTCTTGTTGGTACCAGCATAAGCAATCATGGATGACAGAAAAATAGATGTAGTCTTGTCTATCATTAGAAGCCCAGACAATTACTTGGTTGTAATTTCATCCCTGGTGGCTATTGCTGTGTTAGCAAAGGTATTCAAAAAGTGCTCTTAATTTAGAATTAAATCTCTAAAATACAAAAGTTATAGCAGATACCGCAGCAGATACAATTATACTAGCATTCGTTGTCCTGTATTTGATTATTAATTTTGCACTAGGTAAAAAAGCACCTACCAAAGGGCAAAGTTCTCCTTTTATCATCAGAGTGTAAGTTATTGTGTTGTGTGCTTATATGTGGTTTTAAATGATATTTATAGTTTATCAAACAGACATTTGAAGAAGATGTGGATTCTGCATTAATTACAGATAGGATTGATCATATATCATATACGTACTTGCAAATGCAGTATCTGATTGGATTTGGTTCTGTTTGGTGCAATATTTATTTTGAGTAATAATAATTTGAGTAATAACACGTGAGTGAGCATTCCTATTACCAGGTTAACCATCTATCCTTGAGCTGAAAAAAAGTAAATTCCTTCACAGTCTAATAAGACACAAATGGGATGTCAAAAGGAGTAACCATCTATTACTCTTGGCATTCAGTTCCTAAGAAATCAAACATGAACTTTATTTATTTGAACCAAATAATTAAACCTGAACCATTATTTATTTGCTACCCAATAATGCACATCTCTGGATTATTAGGGGAGCTACTACCTTTGAACGACTGCCCCTTTCTGATGTGTCTAAACACCTGGATTTATCTACAAAACTTGTTATGTTCCCCTAATTACAAAGTGGCACAACTGGAGTATATGCAGTTTTCTGAGATTTATTTTTATGGTGTAAAAGGAAGAGAAAATTAGTTGCCCAATACCATAGTTATTGCATAAGCCTGTTTGGAGGTGCATTTTCTTGGAACAAGTGCTGACTGTTTCTTGCTGTTTTGTGCTCAACAAGCCTGAACTGGAAGGAGGAAAAGAACAAGAAGTGCCTGTTCCACCTTTCCCACTGGTTCCCCCATGGGAAACTTGACAGATTTCAGTGCAACGCCAGGGAGTCAAGCAGAAGGTGACTTATTGATATTTCCAGCTGCTACACCAGTGTTTCTCAACCTTGGCAATATTAAGCTGTGTGAACTTCAACTTCCAGAGCATTCCCAATGCTGGTTGGGGAATTCTACAAGTTGAAGTCCATATAGTTTAAAGTTGCTAACATTGAGAAACACTGGTGTTAGTGGCTGGAAATACCAACATCACCTTCATCTACACCAAGGCTGTCAAACTCGCAGCCCATGGACCAGATGCGTCACACGCTGGCCATGCCCATGCCCGGTTTAACGAAGGGGGGGGGAAGTCATGATATGTCACATGACAACACCATGACAACACGAGTTTGACACCCCTGATCTACACAGATGAAGCATTTAAGGTATGCATTTAAGCAATGTCTTTCAGGCATGCTGTTGGGAGCCTCTTTAAATATGACTGTTGGCTGGATTGGGTTGAGTTTGGTGACCATTTAAAAGTGCCTTCATATATTCCAACCATCCTTGCTTAAAATTATTTGTAACCCTGTGCTGGGGTCAAAGGTCAAGAAGTTTAGGATTTCGTGGGAACATGCGCTTGTTTGGACTTGGTTCAAAAGCTTAGGTTACTTGCTTGACAGGTAGCAATTAGAGAGTAATAGCTTGCCAAGCTGGAATGTCGTAGCTGAGGCCCATTGCTGAGGATCTGGTTTACCTGTTCAACAGGTGTGGGCTGTAGGGCCAAGATAAGTATGTGCTCACACAGCATTCCAAAGAATCAATTTTCCCTTTAAAAGACATTGTCATGACTGCAGGGCATAAAAGAGCTGGGTTGAGCCCCTCTGGAAGGTAGCTGGTTATTTGCACAGCAAAGAAACAAAATAAATAGTGGCAGAAGAGATAAGGAAAAGAGATGGAGGGAAGAACAATGCTCTTGTTTCTCTCCCCTTTCTGTTTTCCTACTGGTTTGGTAAGAAGTGCCACTGTTTGAGTGGTAAATGAATGGAACAAATAGTCGTGTCTTGGAGCATTTTAATGTACGATACAAGCCTTTCCCCAGATGAATGGTCTCCAAATGTATTTGGCTATCGTAGAGTGGGGACAGTGGAAGTTGTATATTTGGAAGACCCAAGTTAGTGCCAGTTGCAATGTGCTCCAGATTTCTTTGACATGCTTCTTTCTACCTTCTCTCATGGATCTGTGATTATCATTCCAAATGCAGTTTTGACTGGATGCTGTATACTTTTGACATGTACAGGTATTTATAAACCTCAAGTAAATGTTTCTAATGCAACATTGTAAAGAAAATATTTGCTTGAAATGTCCATTCTGTAAGCAGTTTATGAAAATTATAAACGTCCATTCGAGCCGATAGATCCTTTCTCATTTTATTTTTACAATATTCCTGTAAAGTATGTTGTTGTATTATCCACCTAGTCCGGTGTTTTTCAAACTTGGCAACTTTAAGATATGTAAACTTCAACTCCCAAATTCCCCAGCCAGTCCACATAACTTTAAAATTGTCAAATTTGAAAAACACTGATCTAGTCCATGGTGAGAGCAATGTCGGCATGGAGATTTAACCCAAGAGTCCAATCTAGCCTTTTAGCCCAGTGGTGGGATTCATTTTTTTAAAACTACCAGTTCTGTGGGTGTGGCTTGGTGGGCGTGTCAGGGGAAGGATACTGTAAAATCTCCAGTCAGAGGTGGTATTTGCCAGTTCTCCGAAGTACTCAAAATTTCTGCTACCGGTTCTCCAGAACTGGGCAGAACCTGCTGAACACCACCTCTGCTTTAGCCACTCTCTATAACGATATTTGAAAGATCTTTTCAGTATTTATTACATATTTCTTTGCTATGATTTTCTCAAATTTAAAAGAAACATAGTATCTGAAATTTGAATTCAGATGTTACAGCATTAGTTGGGATCAGATTTTTAACTGATTATTGAATCAATATAGTGTAATAGATACTGCAGACTATTTAACCATGACAGTGAGATCCAAGTTCAACTTCAACTATGGAAGTGACTTGGGGTCAGAAAATTATTTAGTGCCCAGGATTATTGTTGTGGGAAAAAATAGAGGAGGACATCTGTGTATGCTACCTTAAAATCTTGGAAAAGGATGGGATATAAATTTAGCAAAATTAAAATAAATACATTTTAATCATGCACAAAGATAGATATGAGATGTACCTTGAAATAGTAGCTAAAATAGAGGAAAAAGCACCACTGTAGGGTCACACACATCATGCTAAGTTACAATGTAGTTTACTTGGTTTTGTGTGTTGTGCAAAACTAGCCATTGTGGTTTAGAAAGAGAATTCATAGCTTAGCCTGAATGGCTCAAACAGCCAATTATAGCTTAGTCAACATATTGTGGTCAACAAAACCAAAGCTTTGTGTAACACAGTGACAGATCAACAGATATAAAGAAGCTGAACAAATGAATCTTGGTCTTCTTTTATAGAGATGTCCTCAACTTGCTTTCTAGAGAAGTTTTTTTTTCTCCCTGGAACTGATTAGTTAATAATTGAGTTGGTTCAAGCAATCCGGTCAGCATGGAAGACCATATTGTTCCTTATGCATTCTTAAAGTATATTTCTAAAAGTTCAGATGCTCAGCACCTTCTCATTTTGCACAAGGATGCCTTTATCGTACCTTGTTTGTTTACGTATGATTCTTATAGATTACTGCAGTCCAAATAAATATCCTAACAGTCTACTTCCAGTTAAAATTAAATGCATATCCATACAATTTGCAGAGCATGTCAAAACACCTTGAGACAATAAGAGAATAAGAACCAAAATCATGTTCCTTGGAAAATTTTGTAGTGATGAAACATAGCTTTAAAGAGCACCCAATTTTTAAAAAGCCTAAGGAGTTTCTATTCCCACCTCCGGGTTTTCTTAATAATAATTACTCCTGCAAGCCATTGACAAATGGGATGTTTCATTGAATGAACAGCATGCATGACCACTTGAAAGGAAGCTCCGAGGAATTCAGTACAGGGAAACTTCCAATTATATGCGTGTAAAATTGCAGCCTAACTCCAGGCCTGGATTCAACTATTTTGAAATGAAGATACATCCTGTAGTTTTTAAAGTACATTTTAGAAGTGAAATGAACCACTGATGCATTTAATATGGCCTCTCCAGATCCACTTGAAACTTGGCTTCACCTTTTAATTGCATTGAAAAAAGCTATCAGAGCAAACTATCAAATTATTTGCTTTGCATTGCTAGAGTGCCTGGAAAAGAGAGAAAGCATTAATATATCTTCTGCTAAAATGCTTTCTGATAGTGCATTATATACAAACCTTAATCAGTGTCATCCATTTGAAGAAACTTGTTTATGTTTTTTGACACTTTTCTCCAGAAAACCTTATTGGTTTCCTGCATTGTTGCATTGACCTATCCATATCATTCTATAATTCCAATATTTTTTTTGTTTCCCCAACTCTTGCATCCTGTTATCCATAAGGGGGACCACTCCTCTCTTAATGTTGAATTTAGCCCCCTTTGCAAATTGCTATAGAAGCTTGGATATTGTTGAAGCTTGAGATGGAAAACCAGCATCATTTATGGCTTAAAAATGACACAAAACCAAGAGTTTTATAATCTTCTACTTTTTATGGACTATTTTAAATTCTTTAAAAATGTTCCATCAATGTGAAATCAGTAAAAACATACAGATAGTTTTCATGTAGGGACCACAATTGGCATCAAATCAGTAATTAAGCAAACTAGCCACTTTCACTAATTGAAACCATAACTTTGCCTATGATCTTACTTTCCTTTGCTTTACAGACTTGTTAAGATCATAAATGTGAGGATTGATCATAAAGTTACATCACTGTTGTTACCTGTGGCTTAAATGTCACAGCTAAGGAAAGCAGCGTAGGATACATTATTGTATTTTTGCTCTCAGCAATGATATTGGAGAAATTTGCTTCAAGTTCAACAGATTTGCTTAGACAGATTGAGTATCAGGCCAAGTTAATTAGGCCTGGTTTGCAGGATATCTCAGTTACAGCATGATTAGGTAGAGTATCTTAATCACAATTTTAATCCATGTTTGCATGGCATATAGGGGACATCCAAACCCAGGCAGAAAGGAATTATCTTTCCTATTTAACTTCTAGACATGGAGGTAAAAGCAGGATGAAGGTTGTGATTCTTTCATTGTTCATCCCCCATAAAATGTCTCCTTCCCATTAAACAAGATTCCTGGTGATGAAATAAGAATAAGGGATGGAGGAAAATGCAACCTTCTCCCATTCATTCAGTTTCCTGATCCACCAGATTGGCATGCACCCATCAGTATGTCCAGAGTCATATTTGGCTTATGTTGGAGAACTGTATGAGACAAATTCCTCAGACATAGAGGTCCTTAATCTGTCTTGCCTCGTCTACCCTGCCACTGTGTAAGAAGGAGGAATATGTACCTTACCATAAGGCCATTTCAGGTACTCCAAATGCTGTTTATGCATTATTTACTTCCCCCCCCAAAAAAAAAAAACTTTCTATAGCCTGAGCAATATAAAGCAGGCAAGCCTCAATCTGATGAAATATCTCTGTTACACAGAAAATGATGTGCTTGATTTTCCTTTTTGTTTTCCAGAAATCAAACCATTTTCATGATGCTGCTGTAATTGAAATTATTTCAAGTGGGTTTTAATTCCAGCACTTCAGGAAATAAAAAGGCCTCCCTGCCGTCTCTCCCAGAAAGCAAAGACATGAGTCAAACTACCCTTGGAGGATGAAACTCAGCTGATGTCAGGGGAGAGAAGAACTTTTAAGCACAGGGTTGAATTTGGTCAAAGTTGCCAAAATGCTATGTTTAGAACAATGTTTTCTCAACCTTAGTAAATGTAAAATATATGAACTTTAAGCCCCATGGCTGGCTGGGGAATTCTGGGAGTTGAAATCCACATATCTTAAACTTGCTATAGTTACAGAGAATTACATTACAGATTAACAGAGTTGGAAGGGACCTTGTAGATCATCTAGTCTAGTCCAACCCCCATCCAAGCAGGAGTCCCTACACCATTTCTGACAAATGGCAGTCCAATCTCTTCTTGAAAGTCTCAAGTGATGGCGCTCCCACAACTTCCAAAGGCAAGTTGTTCCATTGGTTGTTTGTTCTCACTGTCAGAAAGTTTCTCCTTATTTCCAGGTTAAATCTCTCCAGTTTCCATCCATTATTCCTTGTTTGGCCTTCAGGTACCTTGGAAAATAGCTTGACCCCTTCCTCTCTGTGGCAGCCCCTCAAATATTGGAATACTACTGTCATGTCTCCCCTGGTCCTTCTCTTCGCTAGACTAGCCATGCCCAGTTTCCAGTTGAGAAACACTGCTTTAGAATCATGAGTTAGGAAAATCAATGGAACTAGAGTTTGGAACCTAATATCACCCTCCTCACAGCAGGTAGAAATTAAATGTGTTCAGTTAAACACATGCCCAAGTATAGAGTTTTCACACTCTAAAATTTGTCACATTTGTGCGTTATCCTGAATTCAAACCTTGCACCTTTGAGATGCCTGCCTTTTAATTGTGCCTACCAGGCCTCCTTATTTTTTTCTTGTAATGGCTTGGTTTAATACAGACCAGATGTCAGGTGTGAAGGATCAGGTCCACATATGAAGGTCTAATTAAACTGATTTATTGCTAATAATGCCTGTGCACAGGAATCTTCTCACCAACAAGCTAGATAAGGTCAACAGGATTCAAGGGAAGTTGAACTTAGTTTGCTTATGACTACATAAAGATTCTAGGCTGATCCCTCTTTTAACTCTGCCCCCGGGTTCTGCCATTCTTCCTTCTTATACTGGGATAGTGCCTTTTTTTTTTTTTTTTGAACATTTGAAAAAGTTTTGAATAAGCTAATATAGTAAAATAAATATGAGACAAAATGGCACTTTTCCTGCATACTTACCCAGGCATAAAATTAGGCAGTGAATATGCAAACTTACAACCACGGGTTCATTTCTGTGAGCAGGGATAGTCAATGAGATATATGAGATTCATTTAGCCTAATTTAACATGAGGCATCAATGCCCAAGTATAGCTTTGCCCATCTGGAAGAGGCCTGAAAATAAAGCCAAAACCAAACAAAATCCAAAATGTGGGTTTATTTCAGACAGATGGCGTTTTCACACATCATGATGTTAACCAAATGGATAGCTTGTTGACTACAGATTCACATGGCAGGAGCCTGTGGTTGGTTCACCACCAACACCAGGTAAGTGCAGTGGTTCACTAGGACTGGACTGAGATATACAAGCCCCTCCAAATATTGTTGCAGTTGCTATACACTCTTTTTAAAATCTTCTCACAAAATAGATGCACTGCTGTAAGCAAAAATCCAAACCGCTGTATCCATCATCTTCATTTCCCAGAGAATAGGAAATCTGTGAGAATAAAATAGAAGGAGAGAAAGAGTGCCGCTGCTTACCCACTAGTAAGAAGAGATTGGAGACTTAAAGGAAAAAGAAGTCCAGCATTTTATGAATAGGAGAATCAAGCAAGTCAGTGCTAAGAAAGGCAAGTGATGATTTTCTTTCCAAGAAAGCAGCTTCCTCAGGACTCACTCCAGAGGGGGTATTCGGCAGGTTCTGACCAGTTCTGGAGAACCGGTAGCAGAAATTTTTAGTAGTTTGGAGAACCGGCAAATACCACCTCTGACTGGAGAGTTTACAGTATCCTTCCCCTGCTACGCCCACCAAGTCACGCCCACAGAACCGGTAGTAAAAAAAAAAATTTGAATCCCACCACTGACTCACTCCACCATAGCTGCACCATGGGACAAGGTTAACCTGTGAATGTGATGATCTTGCTTCTGTTGGCAAGCTGTCTGGGCTTTTAATTCCCCATGCTTCTTAAGGTAGTATCATCAGTAAAAAAAAATTAGTGGTGGCTGGCTCACAGTTCCTTATTAGTGTTTATTTGGATAAGGACCTATACATGTACAGTGTGTTGACTCCTGGTGATTGTCTGAATGAGTCCCTGCAATGTTCTTGGCAAGATTTCAGAAGTGATTTGCCATTGTCTCCTTCCTAGGGTTAGGAGAGAGTGACCGGCCCAAGACATCCACCTGGCTTTGGGCCTAAGGCAAGATTAGAAATCACGGTTTTTGGATTTTTTGCCTGGTGTCTTAACCACTGCACCAAATTGACTCTGATATTCATAAATCTACCTGCTTATTAAGATTTACTTTTCAGGCTTGGCTGCAGTTCTCCTTGCTGATGGAAAAGTGGTTTTGGTAGGGCAACCCCAGGATGCATACTGCTTTCTCAGTAGCACATGAAATTATTTCCCAGTCCAAGAGAGAAATAGAAATTCTTTTACTGATCTGTGTTTGTGTTACATATGTTACTTGTTGCCCTTTAAATATCTTACATGTTGAATATGTATTGCTAAGTTTATAAGCCAATGTGAAGCAATGTATAAATATTTCAAATAAAAATGTTCAAAACCTGCCATTTGTTAATACTTCTTTTTAACTGTTGATTGTTTCGTTTGTCAATTATTTTAATATGGATTAAGTTACCATTACTAAATTTTAAAATTATATATGTATGTAAGTATGAACTAAATATTTTAAATTTTAATATATATATACACACATGCTACCCATTCTCATGTTTGGCTGAAAAATTACCACTGATTACTCATGATTCTTACTTGCTATAAGCATTTAATGTATGGCTGTTTAGACACTGGTTATAAAAAATTAGAAATTCACCCATTACTTCTTTAAGAAAATCTGTTAAGTTATATTAACTGGTGCTTTTAAAGATGTTGATTGAAAGACATTCTGCCATAGAGAAGGAATCTCTCAGCATGCTCTAACATGTAATCCAGAATGACTAAAATATACTCTAAGACAGGAACTTAAGGTAAACATTCACGCACAAAAAGCAGTGCTAACACAGTTGAACAAAAGTATAAAGAATGAGTCTTGTTGATGAAGCCCATGTTCATTTCCATTTCAAAATATTTCTTGTTCATCTGGCTGTTTGTATTTTGTTAAATAACACATCTATTCATCTCTTTCTTGGACTGTCTTATATTTAGCATGTTTGAGAAGATTAAACTCTTTGAGATGATATATGATAGATCTATATGGACAGACAGACAGATAGATGATATAGATTGATCATACCAGACCGGCAGACAAAAATTCTCTGCTATAGGACAAGTTCAGTTCAAATAGCAATTGCACTTACTTATATGCCGCTTCACAGTGCTTTACAACCTCTCTAAGTGGTTTACAGAGTCAGCATATTGCCCCCAACAACCTGAGTTCTCGTTTTACCCACCTCAGAAGGATGGAAGGCTGAGTCAACCTTGAGCCAGTGAGATTCGAACTGCTAAACTGCTGGCAGTTGGCAGTCAGCAGAATTAGCCTGCAATACTGCATTCTAACCACTGCGCCACCACGGTTCTTTTGAAATAGTTTCAAAAGGATATTAGAGAAATTTATGAAGGGTATTACTGCTTGCTGGTAATCCTTGACTTATGACTGATCGGTTAACAACCATTTGAAGTTATAATGGAGCCTGAAAAAGGAACTTAGAACATGGATTTGAAGTTCTAATGTCCACCCCCTATTGTCACATGATTTCATTTTGGCTACTTGACAACCAGCCTGCATTTATAAAATACAAGCAAATAGTGAGATGCTCACCAAAATCTTTCTAAGAAGGGCTCATAAAGGAGGGTATTATCTTACTTATCTCTTATTTATACCCTTATTTGAAGGGCTGCTATTGAGATGAGGATTTTATGGACGTCCTAGTGTTGTTAGCTTTCAGCTCAGGTATGCCTTAACTAACATGGTCAAGAATCACAGGAATTGCAGTCTACTAATATCTCAAATATATAAATCTTAAAACGCTATATTATTACTCTCCACAACATTTCATTCACCAACTGGCCATAGAGACTACAAACTTGTGATATCTTCTTCATAATATCTAAATTAATGGCCTGCCCTATGTTGGGACATGGAAAGCTAATGATATGCTGTGTAAGAAATACTACCCATTACTCCTATGTTTGTGACTTTGTCCATTTTACAGGGTGAAGTTTCTCAGGTTAAGTGATGGAGTAAAAGAAGAAAAACTCCCAACCTCATAATTGCTGATTTTACAAATCAGAATCCCAAACTCTTTAGGTTTGCTATCTAAATAATCTCACCCATTTATTTTAAACCTTTCTACTCCATTTTTCAGCCAGAAAGTCTCCCAGAACAGTTTACAGATTAGCAACAAAATAAGAGAGTCTGTAATTTTAGGATCACAGTCTAAAAGGCATGAAATAAAAGAAATATAGGACAGGAAGGAGGGAAAAAACCCAGTTCGCATACCCAATGTTTACAATTCTTCTAAAGAAGATAACATGGAACTCCTGAGCACTGCATCCTCTGACTATCTGGTCTCACCCAACCTAGTATATCTTAGACATTTAAATTAAAAAATGAAAACAATCGGGTTTAAGTTTCTAGGTCCTACACAGATCCAGAAACATGCTTAGAAAATAAAAATGCTGCATGTCTTCAACTCTATGCTTGCTTTGAAAATGTGGCCAGATGCCTATTAAAATAACTAGTAAATAGCATATATAGATGTTATCAATATTACAAACCTACCTGCCTGCCTAGAATGTTGAACCAAAAATAATACAATACATTGATTTGCAAAATACTTGTGAATCCTACTTTAGCTGTTGTGATAAAACAGAATACCAAGGAAGTCTGTTAAGACCCAGAGATGAAATTGGATTTCCCAAGAGGTAAACATTAAGAAGCCAATTCCTAGTTGCCTCCTACCATTTCCTAACAACTATGGAAGCAAAATACAGAGATACAACACCGTAGCTTGCAGAAGTGTAGGCAATCTTGTTTTCAGTGGGATTGCTCTCTCAATAGAGATCTCTAGCACCGCCCTTTAAGTTTTGATATCATGCTGCCTAAGTCCTCTATGTCCACCAAGAACTCCTTTGAAATGTACAAATTACATGTTCTAGGATTATAATTTTTCAAATACAGTTTTAGCAGACCTTGCCAATTTCTGTTCATTGTACAAGATCAACATTCTCTTTTTAAGAATGAACCTTTTAGTAAACTATACAGAGAAGACGATTAACATAACCTAATATAGTCAAATCTTAAGGCATGCATTTATTATTTTTAAACAAAAGGCTAGTACCTCAGAATAACCTAGAAATAAAAATAGAGAATAAAGGCTTCATGAAACCATGCATCTTGTTCCAAAGGAATGCAAGGTATGAGGGTAATGGCTAGAACATGTACCTTGCTATGGGGGAGGTAGAGAAGAAGAAGAGCCAACCTCCTGATGGCAGATTTTAACAGAATTCTTTGAAATGGCAGGAATAGATGAAAGAACAGTACAGTTGTAATTTAAAAATGAGTTTTAGGTAGCTTTTCAACAAAACCTCTAGAATGTAGAGGCCTCAGACATCATCATGCATATAAAGAAGTGGTGTTCACCCAATTACATACATGTTATATCAAGTATCTTTCCAAAATGGATTCATTTCACTCTTTGTAAGGAATGTGGGTATCACCATTTATATAAAAGAATATGCCCCCCAAAATTTAAACATATCAAACAGCACAAAATCAAACTTTTTATTTCACACCTTATTAAACTTCTGATTTTTCCTGAATGGCTTGGGGAACCAACTGTATAATCTCTTAGATTAGGGATGTGTAGGGTGGTTTTTTTTTCAAAGTAGTGGCCTCGTAATGTCAAACCTGTAAAGAATACTTCAAAAAATGAGCAGAACCAATCAAAAGAGATGGATCAAAACAAAAGTCAAATTAAATTTCAATGTAAACAATTCAAATTAAATTCGGTAATAAAGGTTGCTTCTTACAAATTTGATGATTTCTGACTTTTCTGCCTGTCTCATTAAAGTTACAATTTGGTGACAACTTTAGAAGAAACTCTGACAACCACATTTAAACAGTTACGTATCGTACGTCATCCTGAAACTTCAAGCTGTGGGCCTCTGTTTCTCAACCTGGGCTACTTTAAGAGACGTGGACTTCAACTCATTCCCCAGTGGGGAATTCTGGGAGTTGAATCCATCTCTCTTAAAATAGCCAAGGTTTAGAATTACTGCTATAGACTTGTGTTCTATATCTCTACTCAGGTGAGTTCAATAAAAATAACTATTGCAAGAAGCAGGATGAGCTTCTATCAAGCTGACATTTTTTAAAATTTGTCTGGACTTTTTAAAGCTCAGCATCATAAACAGGGCCACTCTGAATCATTGCTGGCCTACTAAACAAATTTAGGATGATCCTTGGATGCATATAGATATTTTTTATGCATATGCACATTTATTTAGCGTTAACATTTATACCAAAATAGTAGACTGTACTAGTTCATGAAATAGACCATGCAGCCTTGAGCTAATAAGAAGCAAAACTCAAACAGAAGGCAGTCAATGGCAAGCAAATGTGGATTATGATAGTATAGTTAATTCATTTTATAATGTATACAAATTAACTTCAAGAAATGCTCTTGAAATACATTTTTGTTCATTTCTTGCTCCTCAATTTAATTTTAATATATCAAAGTGTTGTCCTTTTAATTCCACCTAGCATCTTGACCTTTTTATTGAAACCTTTTCCCCTCTCCTAGCCCCTATAATGAAATCCACGTCATTGTTCAAATATGAGTTAGTC